AACGACAAGTCTTCTTCTTCTAATTTCTCCTCTTATTAATCCTCGCCCCAATACTCCCTCACCGCCCGCTCGACGCCCGAATCCACACCTTCTTTGGCGCCGAGAAACTAGAAGGATCGCCGTCAAGTTTAAGCACGGTGAGTTAGTAGTAGTCCAAGAGAGTCCAGGGAGGGAGGAGAGAGAGTTGTAGGCTGAGGTAGAGGGAGGAGAGAGAGGAGAGGAAGGCGAGGGAGGCAGCGGGACGGAGGTGTAAATGGTGGAAGTTCTGGGGAGGGTTTCAGAGAGTGGAGTTGGGTGAGGTTTCGAGTCGTCGGGGAAGGAGTGGAGGCATTGAGGTGGGCGTCCGAGGAGGAGGGTGATGCATGTGGGGTTGTTGGGGGGAGGTGGTGGCAGCTTGTTTCGAGTTGACGGAGAGGCGGCGGATGTTGGTCAGGCTCGAAGCCGAGGGTGTCCCGGAGGCTTGTTAAGCTGGTTGAAGTTGGCTACGAGGTCGCTCTATGAGCCCTGCAAAATTAAGCGAGGAAATAAACTGTCATCTCTGTGATTTCAACATAATTGCATGTATGTGGTATTTTTAGATGATGTAAGACTTATTTCAGATTAACTAAATTAATATTGGGTATCCTTAATGAATTGTAGTAGTCGTATTAGCTGCCGAAATAATGCTATGAATGTTAATTAAGAACTAAAATTAAAGATAATTATTAGTGATTGCAAGTTTCTCAATATAACATTAGAAATAATATTTTCAGCACATGCGAATTCATACTGGGATTATGCTATATTGATATCGTACTTAAAAGTCATTCATGCTAATTTTATGACAATTTTAATCGAATAAATATGAATATTATTGCAAAATTTCTCACTTGTGGAACCTACAAACTATTTTGAAAAAATTTATATCTTTTTAATCTTTACTCTATTCGTCTTAATTCAATTAAAGTATATATGTTACTACTTAGCTTTGTGAGCACTGATCACATGCGGCAAAAGGAAGGGATAGCTCCCAAAGTCGGACGCATATTTATGTCCATAAATAAATTTTTGGGACTGAAATAATATTAATCTTCAATATTAAGGCTACAGAAGATAATTTTTGGCAACGCCATTATTATCACGTCTTTCAGGAGAACTGGAGTTCAATACTACGAGTATGAGGATTCATTTTTCACATTGTTATAATTGTCACCATTGACGGTGACTTAGCCGTACTGTTGGCCCGATGTCAAAAAATGAACAAAATTTATATTAGAATAGACTCCTTATGGATTATAAATTTATAGTGTGCTAATAACAAAAAGTCAAGGGTAACGATTTTTTAAATTGGGGAGAGGGACTTTAGAAATTAAGCCAAGTTGGAGGTATAAATAACTTATCATGTATATACGGATATACCCCCTTCATTATAATTTATCAGAGCCTCAAAAAAGAATGGACTTTTAGAAATTAGCAAGTGGACGTAATAAATACACTAGTCATGATATTACGCGTCTGCTTATAATTTATCAGAGCTCAAAAGACTGGGACTAAAATTATCTCCGTGCGAAAGACAGCTATCTTAAATTATTTATCGACCTGATGGGCATTTTTCTATCTTGTGTGCGATGATTTTTGTTGAGTCACTGAGGAGTTCAAGTAGATATTCGGATCTCCTGCTTATTTCATCTCCATTTCGGCCCAGCAAAAAAAATTAAAAAAAAAGATTCCATTGTAGTTCCTCCATTCGATTTCTTCTTCGATCTCCCCTTTTGGACTCCTTGGTCGAGCCCATACACAATGTTGTCAAATCCTTCATATTTTTAGCCAAACTTGTGTTCAATTGATCCCGGATCCACCATGTGCCACGTCGCCCGTCGTCGGCGTCTCCCCAGCATCGCGAGATCTTTCCGCTACCTTTGGTCGCTGCCCTGCCGTCGCCTTTGGTCGCTGCCTTTTGTGAGTTACAATTGCATTTAAGTCCCTATAATTTAGCCGACTATGGACTTTTGCCATAAATGACCCTATACATTAGGTGTTAATCGTTGTCTTATAAGATACTAGTATTCATTCCATGCTCAGTCTCCTTAAAATATTTTTTTTGCACATAATTTTTTTTCTATCTTATTTTTGCGATTCGTCACGTGAAATTTTATCTAAAAATATCTTATAGTTTATGAAAATAGTTTCATATGCTAGTAATTATTTATGTAATATTAATATATTAATATTATTTATGAAAATAGTTTCAAGTGCTTAAGATATTATATTATGTTTAATATATTAATATTTTAATGTACTAATGATATCATAATACATTATTGTAGGCTGTCTAAAAATCACAATAGATAGCTTATTCCCCATCAACCACCGATGATGGAAGTTATAATCTGACGACTTCCAGAAGGCTGTAATCTGAAGACTTTCGCGTAGATTGCTGAAGGTTACAATCTGACGACCTTCACGACAACTGATGGAAGCTCTACTTCAACAGCCTTCACAATCAACATCGGGAGTTACAATCTGACGACTCTCATATTCTCAAGGAGCCAAGACGAAGATTACAAGACAATGATCTTTGCAACGCTATGACAAAAAGAGATTACTTAGTGATAATCTCTGTAAGGCAAGACGCGGAGGTCCTCCCCGTGTTTCAACGTCAAAACGCCGAGGTCGAACCCGCGTCACAACATCAAAACGCCAGGGTCGAACCCCGCGTCTCAACATCAAAATGCCAGGGTCGAACCCCGCGTCACAACATCAAAACGCCAGGGTCGACAGCCAGGCGTCGAACCAGTCACACATCAAAACGCCAGGTCGAACCCCGCGTCTCAACATCAAAACGCCAGGGTCGAACCGCCGCGTCATACATCAAAAGCCAGGGTCGAACCCGCGTCACACATCAAAAACGCCAGGGTCGAACCCCGCGTCTCAACATCAAAACGCCAGGGTCGAACCGCGTCACAACATCAAAACGCCAGGGTCGAACCGGGCGTTACAACAGTCAAAACGCTGGAGTCGGACCCGCCGTTACAACAGGCGAAACGTGAGCGACCCTCGGCGTTGCGTAGGGGTCCAGCCAACACCGACCCCCGCGTTTCTAAGCTACAACAACCAAAACGCGAGCGACCTCGCGTTCATCATGTCAGCAACCCAACTTCGCGTCTCAATTCTAAGAGGCAAGTTGGGTCTGATGCCAGGTTGGGTGTTTTTTGGGACTTTTTGCTTTTCAAACACAAGCCGAACGGCCTCAAAACCGTTATCCCACGTTCTGAGGATTTTCGCCCACTTAGGAAGAGATTTAAGGGGCGGTTTCACCCCCTTAATCTCTATAAATAACTGAGATCAATTCAGTTCACGGGGGCTTCGGGTTTCGGTGATTATCTGGGCTTGATCGACCACTGGAGAGAGGTTTTTGAGGAATCGGCATCATCTTCCAACGAAGATCATCTTCAACTTCAGCAACAGCTTTTATCCTTGGCCTATTAACCGATCTTCGGTTCAAATCAACTCTTTATTCAAGAGTTCAATGACTCGATCAGAGTTATCAACTCATCAAGAGTTTTAACTTGCCACGCAATTCTCGCACAACGTCAAATCGTGAGGAGAAGACATTGTTCCAGTGAATCAAGACAGTGCGGATCGTCAACGGAGGAGCAAACTCGACACAAGCACTCGAGGGAGGCACTCCATCGCCACCGTGAAGACCCAGTTTTAAACAAAGGGGAAAACAAATTCGTTTTCCTCTCTTTGTAATCAAGTTGTAACGCGAGATCAAAGGATATCAAAATCACATTTTTTTATTCTCTCTTTTCTTTACTATGCAATTTTCCCTAATACAATTATAAGTATATTAGTCTGATATCTACTATTATATATAACCAACTTTGCGCATTTCATCACATAATTACATTCTATAATTACCGTAGTAAATATTAATGACGGTAATATGTTCCGTCGTTATAGACTCTATAACGACGGGTAGTATATCCCTTCGTGACCCTTTAGCGAAGAGGGCTTCAACGACGGGTGACGAAGGGATTTTTCCCCGTCGTTATCATACAATAACGAATGTTTTCAGCTCTTTAACGAAGGGAAATCCCTTCGTTAAAAATGTAATTTCTTGTAGTGTACCCCATAACTTGCTGACATAGGACTCCATTGATTTAAATTTGACATTCAATCGTATGACATGCCCAATTAAGGCATTTCTCCATAAATCTTCTGAGTAAATCTCTAAACTCTGGTGAAGGCGCCAACAGATCGTCTAGGGTTTCCTATGACTTATCCATTGATTTTAATTTCTCAGAAGAACTCACAACACGCTGCGAATCAACCAGGAAATCTGTAGATCTAAGTAGTTCCTCCATTGATTTCTTCTTCTTCTCCCCTTTTGGACCTGTCGAGCCCATAACAATGTTGTCAAATCCTTCATAATTTTTAGCCAAATTTGTATCAAATTGATCCCCGGATCCAATCAAACTTGAGTTAGAAGCTCTCAATCCTATATTAAAGATATTCTTCCCACTTCTCTTCTTCTTCTTCGCCATGAAAATCTAAGCGGGGGCGCAAGTTAGCAAAAAACAGATCTCCCGCTAACTTGCACCATCAGATAGCCCGCTCTTTTCCCTTTTTGTCACCTAGATCATTATTCATTTGACCATAGAGCTTTCCTCGTGGATTCAAAACTTTCCTATTGTTAGAAGTTTTTGAGTGTCATCATCTTCTTTTCATACTTCTAGCTACATTCATACTATTTCAACAAACACCAAGTTTTGAACTCTTAGCGGTATCTTACTAGTAAAAAAATGAGCATCCTAGATGGGATACCCGAACATCTTCTGGTTTGAAGTATATTAGTTTCCCTTCACACTATTACAGTTTACATACACAAAAGTAACCTCCCACGTACGCACACCCCCATTAATCAGACCAATGTTCACCTACATATAACATATATAAAACACATGTACATGCATGCATGCATATACTAAATATGGTCACCATATATGATCCACCCTCTACTTCCTCGGCGACCCGAACAACCTCTTCGGCGACAAAGCAGTCCAAATTGGCGACCGAAGGCCCTTCACCTCCCTCATCGGCGTCGCAAACCCCTCCACCATCTTATACTTATCCAGCATCATATCCTCCTCCTCCTCTCTCCCCACCACCACCCTCCCTCCCTTCACATTCATGCTCCCAAACCTCACAAACATCCTCCGAACGAACGACCTCTTCTTCTTAATTTCTCCTCTATTAATCCTCGCCCCCAAATACTCCCTCACCGCCTCGACCCCGAGATCCACCACCTTCTTTGGCGGCGAAACTAGAGGATTCCCGTCAAGTTTAAGCACGGTGAGATTAGTAAGTAGTCCAAGAGAGTCAGGGAGGGAGGAGAGAGAGTTGTAGCTGAGGTCGAGGGAGGAGAGAGAGGAGAGGAGGCCGAGGGAGCACGGGACGGAGGTTAAATGGTGGAAGTTCTGGGAGAGGTTCAGAGAGTGGAGTTGGGTGAGGTTCTCGAGGTCGTCGGGGAGGGAGTGGAGGCAGTTGAGGTGGGCGTCGAGGGAGCGGAGGGTGATCATGTGGGAGGTTGTTGGGGGGAGGTGGGTGAGCTTGTTCGAGTTGACGGAGAGGCGCCGGATGTTGGTCAGCTCGAAGCCGAGGGTGTCCGGGAGGCTTGTTAGCTGGTTGAAGTTGGCTACGAGGTCCTCTAGAGCCCTGCAAAATTAAGCGAGGAAATAAACTGTCATTCTCTGTGATTTCAAAATAATTGCATGTATGTGGTAATTTTTAGATGATTAAGACTTATTTCAGATTAACTAATTAATATTGTATCATTAATGAATTGTAGTAGTCGTATTTTAGCTCCGAATAAAATCATGAATGTTAATTTTAAGAACTAAAATTAAAGGAATATTATTAAGCTGATTGCAAGTTTCTCAATATAACATTAGAACTAATATTTTCACACATCAATTCATATGGGATTATCTATATTGGATATCGTCTTAAAAGTCATTATGCTAATTTTATGACAATTTAATGCAATAAATATGATATTATTGCAAAATTTCTCAACTTGTGGAACCTACAAACTATTTTGAAAAAATTTATATCTTTTTTAATCTTTAACTCTATTCTTAATTCAATTAAAGTATAATGTTACTACTAGATTTGTGACACTGATCACATGCGCAAAAGGATGGGATAGCTCCCAAGTCTGACCATATTTATGTCCATAAATAAATTTTTGGGACTGAAAAATATTAATCTTCAATATAAGGCTACAAAGATAATTTTGCAACGCCATTATTATCACGTCTTTCAGGAGAACTGGAGTTCAATACTACAGTATGAGGATATCTTTTTCAACATTGTTATATTGTCACCATGACGGTGACTTACCGTACTGTTGGCCTGTCAAAAAATGAACAAAATTTATATTTAGAATAGGATTCCTTATGGATTATAAATTTATAGTGGCTAATAACAAAAAGTCAAGGGTAACGATTTTTTTAAATTGGGGAGAGGGACTTTTAGAAATTAAGCCAAGTTGGAGGTATAATAACTTATCATGTATATACGGATATACCCCCTTCTTATAATTTATCAGAGCTCAAAAGAATGGACTTTTAGAAATTAAGCCAAGTTGGACGTATAATAACCTATCATGTATATACGCCTGCTTATAATTTATCAGAGCTCAAAAGAATGGGACTAAATTATCTCCGTGGCGAAAGAACTACTTAATTATTTATCGACCCCTGATGGGCATTTATTTATCTGTGTGCGATGATTTTTGTTGAGTCACTGAGGAGTTCAAGTAGATATTCGATCTTCCTGCTTAATTTCATCTCCATTTCGCCCAAGCAAAAAAAAAATTAAAAAAAAAAGATTCCATTGAACGCTATCAGATCAAACGAACTAGATGATAATTGATATTTTATATGATCTGTGATACAAATACTATAAGTTAAAATTTACCGTTTATCTTTATTTGGGGAGTGGGCAGCGAGGTAGGTTGCGTCATATGACTCATATTAATTAACTTCTCTTGGAAAAAGAACAAGATATAAAATTAAAAAAAAAGTGTGCAATCAAACAAGTGATTACAAGACCATAAGTTATTTATTTACCCAATTTCTTCGTGCTTAAGTCACAATATTCATTCTAAATTCGACTTTTCATTGAAGTACTTAGCAAAAACGACCTACATGTCTATTATATGGAGGCATGTTACCGGTGGAATCCAATAGCATCAAAATTGAGTTTTTTCAAATCATTGTCAAGGAAAACAAACAAAACTTCAAATTAAATACTATTTTAGGGGAAGTAGTTAGCATGTTGTAGGTTGCCTCCTCAAATTAATGGAGAAATGAGCTAACTTTAAACTCGAAGCTCTATATCTTAATGAAGTTGTTAGCAGGACAATTATGAATTCCAACCTTATCCCCTTGTATATTCTAGTATTATGGTAAGGTCCAAGTGACCCAGTTGCTAAGTTAAGTTTGATGAATGCTTTCATTAATCTATTGCCTCTTTGCAACTAATCTCGTGTTTTGAAGTAACTTAAAACAAAACCCATTCCCTTTCTAACTAAGGGCTTCTTTAACAGAAATGAGCGGCCCTTTTAGGGTTGTTGCTAACTACTAGTAGTTATATACCAAACTTGGTCATTTTTTTGCACATTATAAATTCATAATCCTAGCTTGTTACCTATCCTATATCCAAGCTTTATACTAATTTAGGTATCAGCAGAATTTGAATGTTCATCACATCTTACAGAGATCATTAATTTATGCATCCCTTCATATAAGATTATTGTATATAGTTCGTTTCAAATTGAAGTAGGATGCATTTTTTGTTCTTAGTTAGACGTCATATTAATTTTGGTGGTTAGGACAAATGCAAAACATTAAACACATATATAAGAAACTTTCCATAAAGTTTTTTTTTTTTTTTTTTTTTTTTTTTTTTGGGGGGGGGTGGGGGGTACCCGGCCGAAATTTAAAAAAAAAACTTGACGCAAATTAAATTACCTGCAATTTTCTATGGTCCTTGGAAGGGATTGAAGGAGATTGCCGGAGACATCAAGGTACTTGAGCTTAGAGAGGCAACCAATTGAGTTGGGCAGTGTCTTCAACTGGTTTGAATGCACATCCAAAGTCACCAAATTCACTAGCCGTGCCGTCAGTGACTCCGGTATGATCTGCTCATGCTCAACAATTTTTTTTAAATAAATATATAAAAGAACAAGAACTAATAAAAGGGAGGAAAAAGTATGCAAATATTTATCTCAAATTATTTATCCTTTCTGTTTAAGTTGACTTTGGAACAAGTTATATATAAGCATTTGCGCTGCTTGGACTTGGTTAATATCTATCAAGGTGAGTGCGAAGCATTCGGTTGTGTGAAGGGGGAAGAAATGAACTGAGATAGTATTAAATATCTCTCATTAAGCACCTTCCTGCTTATATATAAGAGATAGCATTAAATATATTTTGTAAACTAATAGTTACGCCGTCGTTCATCATCATTGTGGAAGAGAGTTATCTGTCTGCCTCTTGCAATTGTATACACTATCTCAACATTCGGGAGCACCTACTACATGATATATGGACAAAATCAATTAATATTACACCTTGGTTTCCTCCACAATTAATTTGATCTTATATAACCACTTGAAATAAATTGCATCTTCGACCAGAAAAAAAAAGGGTCAGCTTATAACCTTAATTACCATTTTTCAAACCCCGAGGGGGGGTGATGGATAATTAATTAAGAGGTTTTTTTTCTTTTCTTTTGGTAATTATTTCCGTAACACTTTCTCTATATATGAACAATATCCTGAAATAATTTAAAGTTGGTAGAGTTTTACCTCGAGACTGTTGTTGGAGAGATCAAGCTTGGTGATAGAAGCAAGATTGAGAGAGAGTGTACTCGGAATAGAATCAAGACACATCGCACTCATGTCCACTTTCTTCTCCACTAAAGCCTTTTCATTATCATTCATCTCCCTCTTCATCACTCCCCTTTTCCTCCCTAATTCCATCCTCATCTCTCAAAACCTCTATACATTAAAATAAATAAATACAATTAAAACCGTCAATAGAATTTACCCCAAATAAATAAATTAATACGCCTTTAAAAGAGCTTATAGTTTAACCTCACCTCTTAACAAATAGACAAGCAAGATGAAGAAGAATTATGAGAAGATGCTTAATTGATGGTGTTCGAGCTTTTCTAGGCAGATATTTATAGACCCTCCATGCGTACGGATCCTCTTGTACCACGCTAAGAAACACGTGTGGGCTGCTTTCTACCCGGGCGTAGGCACGTGTCAAATATCTCAAAGTCAACGCTCAAAGTCATGAGGCCCTGCTCACAGATAAGCACACCACCTCTACAACGGCCGAAGGCTATACCTAATCACACTTGGGATTTTTCCGTGTTGGTCCCTTACATCTTTGACATTTTTAGTTAGTCCTCCAATTGAGTTTGCTGCTTAATTAGTTCTCGAATCCTTTTCTGTTTGGTTGTTTTCCGAAAAAAATCGGAAATGGAAATGTCACATTTCATTTGATTTCAACCCATTTCAAGAGTTTTCCCACATTTCTTTTTTTGTGTTTGTTTCGCAAAGAAATCACCTCATTTCACCGCCAAGTCACACAAACAGACAAAAAAGCCGCAATAGTAACAGTGCACCACATTTCTATTTCTTGTGTTTGTTTGAACAAAAAGCAAAGGAAAGAGAAATCAGCCCATTTAAATAATCTGTTTTATTCAGCTTTACTATTCTAACAGTGCTTTTAGTAATAAATAATTCATTGAAGTGACATTTCCAAGTGTTTTCAGAGGTTTTTGTTGTGAAAACACATTTCTTAAAAAGCTGATGTGGCATCCTACGTGGCGTTTTATTTCTTTAAATTACAAAATGAAACAAACTGAAGAAATGGAAAACCCTTGAAACCAAAATCCTATGTGGCACATAGGAGATTTCTTGAAAGGTGATGTGGCGGGTGTTTTCTCATTTTTTTGAGCAAACAAACATACCCTTAGTTTCTTTCAAAACTAGTCCGTGTAATTAGCTACTGTTTAATTCTGGGGGAACGTTTCATTTAATTTGACTTCTTGTAAAGCATGGGTTAGTTTTACCCCTCTACTTAAGTTTCTCTAATCCGAAATCCCATTTAAACGCACAATTTGACTTTCAAGCCCACTTAAACACATCTCATTGAACTCGTTTCTTTAAATATTTTAAGATTTTAGGGGAAACCACTAATTGAGAGTAGAAATGAAATTCACAATATATGCGGTTAACAAATAGCTCAATCAGAGCTAGCAATTTGGACGGAGTAACTAACTCACGGACTAATTTGAATTAACTGAGCTAGGGACTAAGTGCCAATTTCCAAAGATTTAAGAGACACAAACTCAAAATATTAAAGATTTAAGGGAACCATATCGAAAGAACTCTCGAGACTTACATGTTGGCACGTGGCGATATTCCAGTGGATTTATTTTTCGTGTTCTCGGTGTCGGTAAAGAATAATTGTTTTAGCTAATCAACTTCTCTGATTGGATTGTATCGCGACTTGAAGCAACCTGGAAGTTTTGAGCGCCGCTTGCGCAGCCGCATTTCCGTACATGTTTTGACTTCCTTACAATTTTGGATTACTCTTCTTAAGATTTCCGGTTCTTGGACGAAGTCTGAGGCTTATTAAATTTCTTATTTATTTCGTTTGTTTATTTTTATGTCAGTTGTTCTTTGTTTTCTCTTTCTATTTAATTATTTCTCTTGCTTTTTTTAGTTGAATGTAGTTGAGGGATCAAGATCATCTCAACCTATAACGAATCCTTTTTAAAGTACTAATTAAATATGTGTAAGTACGTTGAGAAATGAAGAGAACATTAGGTGATGTACGGGGTTATGAGATTCCAGTCACATGCCACGTAATGAATGTATATATGAAAATTATGTAGGACATGATTAGATTTAGATTCATAGGAAAACCTAGGACGCAAAAAACAACTCCTTGCATAAACAGCCCTCGTATGTACGGCCGCAGAGCGCGCCGCACACTCTCTCTCAATAAATAAATAATAACAACGTACAAATTTTCAATTTAGCTTAATTCCGAAACTTATTCTCAAAAAACGATCTATTTGAAAAATATTTACCAAATTTAATCCAGTTTTAGCCAGTTGGCTGAAACTGAGTCGGATTTGGTCAAAAAACCTACAAAACTTCACGGAACTTGAAGTCCCGTGAAGTTTTATAATTATTTTCACCAAATTCGATCCAGTTTCAGCCAGTTGGCTGAAATTGAGTCGAATGTAGTAAATAATTTCTAAATAGATCATTTTTTGAGATTAAGTTTCTAAACGGGTTGTTTTTGAAATTTGTCCTAATAACAACAACAATAATAAATAATAAAATGTATATGTGTTATACTATTACCAGTTGAGCCAAGTTAAATTTGCTTTCACCTGAAAAAGATGATCCTGGAACTAGCAAATTTTTTTGGTCAATGAAGTAATTTTATTCATTTACCAAAATGGGAAGTATATGTACATCAGATATTCAGTATATGAACTGAAAAATCAATCAAGAAAACAACAAAAAAAAGAAACTAAGGTCAGCTAAGTATATACAATGGCTTTATAAAGTTATAAGCCATTCTTTCTTATTTGCTAGATATGGACCATTCAAGATGATAGTCATAATATCAACTTTGATTTCTCTTATAATCTGCTCAATACTCATGTTCTTCAATTTGAAAAATCTGTTGTTGCGCTCCCTCCATAACATGTAGATTGTTGAAGCTAGTGCCATTCTTTTCACTCTTTGTTTAAGTCATCGACCTCTTAGCCTGTAAACAAACCAATCCATCAAAAGATTCCAGTCACAAGCCCTCCAACCGAATTGAAGCCACCCCATGATCCCATTCCAAACTGCATTCGCAAAGCTGCAATCGAAAAAGAGATGGTTTCGGGATTCCAGAACTGCATCATTGCATAGACTATAGAGACCAAAGTTAATGACTCCTCTTTTGAGCAGTCTATCCCTTGTAAGAAGTCTGTTTTGCACAGCTAGCCATAAGATGAAACAATGTCTTGAGTAGTTCAAGTTATCCCATATTGTTGTGAACCATGGTACCTTAATAGCCACAAGATGAAACAATGTTCCTGGAACTAGCACTTTGAAAGCATTTAAAGTCTTATTTTTGGAGTTTTCTAGTGTTCTAGCTCTCGTTTAATTAGTATATACTCATATACCTTATACAAGTATTAAGCTTATGCTTGCACTTACAGATCATCTATTATCTAATACTTTATATACATATAAAGGAAAAGAGACAATGAGTACCTCTTTTTTTGTGTTATGAGAAGGAGATAATAGAGTATTTTATCATTTATAGTAGATAGTTGAAAAGGTAGAGTTTTTCTTAGATAAATTACAATATTAAGTTTTAAGTTCAAAATTAGATAGTTTAACCTTCAATCTCCTTTACAAGTTTGAATAATAAGTTATAATTTTTAAAAACTAAAAAAAACCACCGGGATTTCAATGTATCAAGATTTCAATCAACATTCATATTTGGTTCACCCGGGATTGTGATGCGAATGAAATTAGGACTTTCCTCTAATTCCCAAATGGATAGTAAGAAGTTCCATCATCCCCTCGTGTAAAGGACATAGGACTTTCCACGACCATTATACTCTCCCACAACATGAATTCCCCACATCGATAATATATTATAATATTATAATATAATATGTTAAATTAAGGGCTATTTGTAATTTTAAACTTTTAGGGTTTTGTTTGTAAAGTTTTTAGGATTATTTGTAATTTTTAAAACTTTCAAAAAGGTGCTTGTAAAGTTTTTGGGGTCTATTTTATAAATTTTTTGTGGTGCTATTTGTATTTTATAAACTTTCACGAAGATTTTTGTAAACTCTACAATGATGTTTGTAATTTAGAAACTTTTTAGTGATTTTTTTGTAAAACTTTTAAGGACTTGTTTGTAGTAATTTAAACCTTTCAACATAATGTTTGATAGTTTAGCAACTTTCATATGGCTAGTTGTAAAAATTTTAAATAGTTATTTGTAAACTTTTCAATGGAATATTCATAATTATTTAAACTTTAAAGGGGCTAGTTATAAACTTTTGGGGGTTTGTTTTTTAAATATTCAGGGGGTTATTCATAATTTTAAACTTTATAGAGGACCCTTTGTATTTTTTGGATTTTCTAGGGTTGCTTGTAATTTATGGATTTATAATTTTCAAATTTTATGGTGCTATTTGTAATTCTAAGATTTCTCAAGGATTTATTTGTAATTTTTGAATCATAAGTGGTTGTTTGCAACTTTCATAAGGTTGTTTGTAGTTTTCAGATTTTTTGCAGGGTGTTTGTAATTTTTAAAACTTTTAAGGAGTTATTTGTAAAAAATTAGGGTGTTGTTTGTAATATTTCAAAATTTTTATTAGGGTGTTTTTTATTTTTTCAACCTGAATGGGGCAGTTGTAAATTTTTCTAAAGGATATTTGCAAAATTTTAGCAAAAAATTATAATTTCCAAAACTTTTAAGGTTGGTTGTAAAATTTTTAAGGGGTTGCTTATAAATTTTTAGAGGCCTATTTGTAATTTTGAATTTTATATAACTTTTATAATTTTTGGATTTCTTTGGATTGTTTGTAATTTATGAATTTTAAAGGGATGGTTTATAATTTTCTAAAATTTATGATGCTATTTGTAATTTTTAGTTTTTAGGAGTTAATTGTATATTTTGAATCTTAAGGGAATATTTACAAATTTCTAGTTTTTACAGCCTTATTTTAAATTTTAGCTTTTTCAGAGGTTGTTTCTATTTTTTGGATTTGAGGAATAGTTTGTGGTTTTTGAATTTTTAAGGAGCGGTTATAGTTTTTGAATTTTGAAGGGGATAGTTGATAATTTTCTAATCTTCAAAAAACACTCTTTTATAAAGGAGGGGTTTGATTAATAGAATTTTTCAAATTATAGATACTCTTATTTTGATAATGATTATTAGATAAAGATGATTATAGAAGGATTTTGATTATTAGAATTTTTTAATTATAGATAATTTTAATTTGATTAGGATTCTTAATTACCTGAATATAAGATTAGATGTCTTCTTCTGATAGGATAGAATGCTAAATGTCTTTTTTTTTTAATATGA